CAGCGAGCCCCTAAACCGGGGCACCAACGTCCACGAAACGCCGGGAGGAGCCGCGAAACAACGAGCCGGGCAAAGTTACAAAATGAATTTATTCCAAAAGGGAACGGGAACATGTACAATTCAACAAGCTGGCAAACAGGTGTCTCCACAAGAACGCACTGCATTGAAACTAAGTTTGGAAGCGGGGGGGGAAAAAACAACCCTAGGTACTTGTGAGGCCTCGAGTTCTTCGCACATCACTTGCGAAGAACAGGAGTCTCCTAAGCAAACTCGCTCAAAAGCCAGGGAGAAAAGCCACCAGTAGCTAGTTCTTCATCTAAATGGAGCTACAGTTGGGCTTTAAGATTAAATTTTAAAAATGTCTCAAAACACGAAGTAGAGCCACAAGTGCTAAAGGCCCATTTTTCTGACCTAAGTTTATTACCCATCTAGGACGTAGTTCCAGGGTGGTATTTTGATCACATCAGCTTGTACCTGAAAAACATTTTTTGAGTTTGTTGGTTTCGATGGCAAATTTGACTAGGGCAGCTGGCTTGTTACCAGAAATACAGAGTCTGCTCAGAGGCCCTGAAATGTCCCAGTTTTGCCTATTGCTCCAGAGTTCAGCAAAAACTGAGCTTTAGAGTAGAGCCAACAACTTAGCCAACTTTGACAGAGTTTTGGTATTCAGTCCTTCTGGTGGCAGATACCAGAGTGCTAGCGAAGACACCAAGCTCAGAGTCATAAGCTATTCTTCACAAACACAAGGAAAATAGCTAGGGAAACAGCACTCTCAGGTGTTTGTCTGTGTGTGTGGGTATTGAATGGCTGGAGAAGAAAAAAAGAAGGAAAAGAAAAATCTTCCATCCTCTAAAGTGTAAGCTATTTTATTTTACATGAGCGTGCCCTGGAACACTTATTAAAATTGTTTTCCTTTGCCCCCACTTCTATCAGTAAACTTTACAATATGTAAAAAGACCTGAGAAGTAAGTTTTATAAGTAGCAAGAACACATTATAAAAAAAAAAGCATTGTGCTCTTACATTGTATTTTCTGGGTGTATACCAGTAAATACGAATCCCAATTTGCTATGAAGAAAGAAATAGCATGGAATCTTTAATTTTTCACCTGAATTAAACTACATAGTGGGATTTTTTCAATGTTACCCAAAATACAGTTTTATTTATATATTTTTAAATGCAATTGTATTTGTTAAAAAAAAAAAAGCCTCTAGTGCCAACAAACTCAGAAATCTGCAATACACAGGAAAGAGCCAGGTACTGCTATGGTCCAGCTCCGGTTTATGAAGCTTAATCACTGCATCAGTCTTTTCCCATTCCTAGAATATTTCTAGTCATTTATTGTCATGTTTTTCCTGTTCATTTACTTAAATTTCACGGCCTAAGTATATGCACATATTCATATTAAACATTAAAAACTCATTTGCAAAACATCACTTTTGCATTACAATGCACGGAGAAGAGTAAGATGTGCAAAACAAAAAACACCACAATCTCCACATCTCTAAGTAAAAGGACTGCTTCATGCTACAAGCAAAAAAAAATCCCACTCGTTGCAAACTGTAGAAATCCAGCATTTGCCTCCGTCAATTTCTTTATAAAAAGTAAATAAAAGCTAATTTAACAGCGATACTCTTCTCCACATATTGCAAAATATGGTTACAGATGAGGAAAGGATTACTTCAGCTGCTAAGCTTATCTGACATGTATCTCTGCAATCATGCCTTTCCTGTCCATTATTTAATACATAAACTCAATTACATAGTTTCTGCTATGCAGTAGCTGATTTTTAGTTTAATATGCAAACTGTCAAGATGCAGCTGTTGATAAAACATCTATGCTGTTTTCCAATTTTGAATAAATCCTGAAGACACTTCAAAAATAAGAACCCAAAACTGCTGACTGTAAGCATCCAAAAATACAATCGTAGTTTCACTATGGACAAGTTGTAGTCCGTTAGAAAAGTAGATCATACATACAAAGGTATAAAGAACATTTAAGTCAGTCTTAGTGGAAGGCAGTCCACGAAGGGAGCGATCCTCCAGGCAATCCTTTGCTGAGCAGGACTTTCACGTCAGCCGCTCAAGCCCACAGAAAATGTCACGGTCTGTTCAGTAGATTCTTCCTCTGCTACGATTGCCACGTCCTCCCCAGCCTCTTCCTCGTCCACCTCGGAAACCACCTCTTTGCTCTGAAAACAAAAGCCAAGACATTTATAGGCTTTATGCTGCATACAAATTAAAACTGATTCACTGTAACTAGATGTACTGATGGCCAACTTAAACCTCTGAGGGCGATACTCCTTACTTACCATTAGAAAGCTCTCACTTAGGTTTTAATGACCAAGAGACCCCATGGACTGTTGGTCAGGAAAATCAAGGTCTCTAATCTAAGCTTAGTCTTCCCAAATACTATCACACACAACAGCCCCATTACTTTAAAACAGTATCTGGGCTAATGTATTATGTCAGAGTTGAAAATCATCCTTCTGTCTGATAACACAATAGACCGTGCTTACCTCAATCCTGACATGCTTGTTTAAACTGCTCCTAATTAATTTTCAAGTGATAGAAAACCACAACTCTGCCACCCTATCTATCCTAACCATTAAGTTATCCCAGGCATACCTAAGGTTTTTCTTCTAGACTAGTATTTCACTGTATCCAAATTAAGGATCCTATGCTTAGCTGGATATCCCCCGAATTATCTGTGTGCTCTAGGAAGTTTTTCGTTTCCTTCCATTAAGGAGAAATCCAATCACACTGGAAGACACTAGAAATCTTCGATCTTTGGAGAACCTGATAATAAGGCTGCTTAATTTGCTTATTTACTTTTTTCCCACTTGTCACCAAACAAAACTTTCCCAAACAGCCTGACTTACCATAGGAAAAACTACCCAGGTTGCTACTGTATTTTCCACTGGGAGGGTTATATATTTGCCTGGCATCCCGTTTTGGTCCTGCTGGAGATTTCTTCGGGGGTGAACTTGAGGTTGTATCTTCAGTTGTTCTTTTTTGCCTGGGAGAAGAAAACAGAGAGAGATAATTTCACCCCTGCAGTGACAAGTATAGTAGTTCAGCCTCAAATAATAACAGTTATAAGCTAGCAGCAGCTAATAAAGATGCCTTGAAGAGGAAAAGCAAACTATTCTCCAGGTAAATTAATATACTGAATCTCCAAAGCAAGAATATGACTCCACAGCCTTAACTCCTATCAGGAGAGGTGTTACTTTTGCCTGTGAAACTCATGTGCTGTGTATATTATATATACATGCACAGTTTGGGATCTCAATTTTGCAGAGTGTTTTGAAAGATGGGTGGGGTTTTTTGTTCTTTTTTAGTTTGTTTTATAGAAAACTCTTACCCTGCATCTGCCTTCTGTACAGGTTTCCAGGACAGTGTAACTGTACTTTTATAGGAAGGAGGAATGTGGAAGAGATCCTACAAGAGATAAAATCAGACAGTTCATTCTATGATTAAATCCATGTCAATTATACCTCAAAATTAAACTACCAAGTTTCCAGAATAACAGTTATCTTAAAACAACTTTAAACCCTGTACTTTTTAAGCCCGATGGCAGAGGGATAGGAAGGCAGCAGGTAACCTAGTTCATATACTTTACCTGGAAAAATGAGATATATATATATATTAACAGAATAGCCCCGCCCCGCCCCCCCTCACTTAGGCACACAGAACATCTTTTAGTGAAGGGGAGATGGAAAGCGAGGGAAGAGAGGCCAGCTGAGGAAGTCAGCAGACTCCCAGGAAGGCTGTTAAAAGGAATCAGGGTGGTTTAAGGGCTCTGCATGGTAGTCTCTTCACCCTATGGAGAGAAAGGGCCTACACAGTGAGCAGCTTGCTTTGCCTCCTCCTTCCTTTATCCTTCCTTCAATCTCTTACTTACCCCTCCTATGCCTACACGAGCAATGAGAAGGGGACAAGGCTCATCCTTAATCCATGGACCCTTCTGCAACATTTCCTGCTGGCACTGAAGGTAGAAGGCTGGGCAACTGCTGCTGCTGGAAAGGGCCTTCAACACCCCTTCCTAGCAGCAGCTGCTACAGCAGCAATCAACAGCTTACAGCTTGGTTCACATCTTTTCATTCCCATTTTCTCCTCAGATTACCCTAATGCATGGATTTACACTCCTTCACTACACTGAGACTTACCTTGATTAAAACATTAATGTTATTGGTTATTTTCAAGGCAACCACTTTAATCTTGTTCTGTAAAAGAGAAGAAACAACCCTGAATGCCAGCTCTTCTGGTAGCCTAAATTACATCAACTGCATTTGATGAAGTCACAATATTATACTGATTGCTCTCCCTAGCAAATTGTTGTGGCAACAGTGAAAGATGTCTGCACTGCTGAGATTTAATTAGTTTTTTGGCTTTTAGAAGTTTTACATCTACTGAAAAAAAGCTGATTGTAACACTCCCCTGTACCTCCCACCTACAGTTTCTTTTTCATAACATAATACACAGCACATTTAAGCCAAAGAGATGGGCACACACACAGCATCTTAACAAAATTATCAGAAACTAAAAGCCCCTCCTAGATTGCAAGACCAGCACCAGGCAAGATATGGTGGCACACTAATAATTTTTCCCATTCCCTCCTCTGGAGGTGGCATATGTACAGTGATGCTCCTGGTGATGTGTCCACAGCACACACAGCTCGACACCCACTCAAGTCTGTAACAACTGACAGGTAACAGATACAATGAGCATAAACATGGTATCGGCGTGAAGAACATCTGCCGGGGGGAATTTATTATTTTGTAGGCTGAACGCATGGGGCAGTCTGGCAACACTACAACGTCTTGCACAGGAGGCTAATGCTCTGAGTCTGCTTCACGTGCAGGTCAACACTGTTTAAGAAATCTGTACCTGATACCACAACCTTCCTAGCTGGAAACCTGAAAGATGCCCTATGACATCAGGAATAACAAGCACGTCCTTCTGCCATCACACTGTAGCTGCATCTCTATGCTGTATTTTCAAATAATGCAGGAGTAAAGCTCTGAAACATACTGACCACAGAGGATAAGCCATGACCAGCCAGGTTCACTAAAGCTTTAACAGAGCTTCCATATAGCATTTTTTCTTATAGCATTTTTGATGACCTTGAACCTGGCCAATCTGCTGTCCCCAGAATCTATGAACCCTTTTTTCCCCACCTTCTTTGGATAATAATCTGTGGTGTTATCTTTTATTGCAGGCCTGATAGCACCCAACAACACAGAGTTTAGCACTAATGACAATCAAATATTAATACTTAACCACAAACACATTTGCAGAGAAATACAACCAAGTCTTTATGAAGTTATGGTGCACAAGTGTAAAATGCCAACTAATTCTACTGTCATTCTGCACATCTGCCTAACAGTAACTTTTACATGAGGTGAGGCTGAGGTTTAGGTGACCAAGTTCACACTGGTCACCTAAAATACTCTGACAATTTCAACACGTTTAAAGGGAAAATGGCAACAGCTGTTAGGATTATTTTCCCCTTAATCTACTTGCACCATTAAAAGAGATGGCACACCATTAATGTGTTTCATTGGTTATTTTAGCAGGCTCAGTTAGAAAAATCAGAATTCCTGAGAAATACTTACCTCCTCGGTTTTCAAGGCTTCTCCAGTTTTTCCTTGGAGCGCTAGACGAAGCTGTCGAATGTATACCTGTAATCCTCGAGCGAAGTACTGTAGCCTAAAAAGTATAAAATTAAGTGCTTAATACATTTTACAAATTTCTATAAAAAGAGAAGCATAAGCAAAGAAATTAGTAATTTTATTTTCCTTTAAGAAAAATGCTCCAAGCAATTCTTCCACAAGTCTGACTTGTTTTTATGCACTATCCTAATAATAGTAATTCTGTCACCCTGCCCTTTTCACAACACCAGCACCTAAAGAATTACCTGATTTTAAAATCTTTCAATTTCTCCGCGTTCAGCTTGCCTGTGAGGAAGTCTGGAAGTTTGCGCCCCAGCTGGTGGAAGCTGTACAACAAACACTCCACGTAGCTGAACTGCAACTTGGGCTCTTCGTTGCCAGCATTCTCCCCATTCTCTGCTTCCTCTGGAGGAAGTGGCATGTACTCCTAACGCAGGAAAAGCAAAACAGATACACGAGGCACTGTGACATATTCTGACAGTTCTCTTCCAGTCTTTGTGCTGGTGGTTTTATTATTGCACTAGTGCTGCTGAATCAGTGATGCACTTGCTTAAAGCTGACAGAGACACAGCCTTGGATGCTATTCAACAAGAGTCACTCATGACTATAAAATCTAAAAAGAACAAAGTCATTTGAGTTCACTGTATTAAAAACATTGTGCAGCTAATGTCTCTCTTAATATCAAGAAGTGCTTTGAATTGCAAAATAATGTTTGCCTTTATATCTTGGACAAAGCTATTTCTGAAACAAGAAAGGATAAAGGACCCTCTAGTGGAGAATAGATTAATGGTTAAAACAAAAACAAACCAAAAACCCCACACACTTAATTTGATGAAATGCCTTCTTTAAAAAGTGTTTTATAAGAATAAAAATTGAATTAGTCTTACCAGTAATTTATCAAACAGCTTCTTCAAGTTTGATTCAAGCTTTTCCATATCACCACAAAATGAACTCATTTCAGCAAGAAGCTTCAAAACCTACATATAAGGATAGCTGGGTTTTTGTGTGTTAACTGAGAAGTACAAACCTTAACTTCCAAATCAAGAGATTATCACATCATCATGGCTTCTTCAGTAGAGGTCAACTATTACAACTAAAACCAAAAACAAACACCCAACAACAACAACAAACCCTAACACCAGGAAGACCTGCAAGGAGGAACATGCCTGGCCTGTTCTTTACATCCTCAAGCACAAACACTTACTTCTAGGCTTACAGAACAGGCATCATTATTCAACAAGCAAACAAAAGGTTTTTCTTCCATTCTTGCAGTCCAGCTCATCTTCAAAGTGAGATTCACAAAGATCTAACTTAAGCTGCATTGATTAATGTAAGCAAAATTACACAGACATTAAACCACTCCCTTAGGAGACTAATTAGCACAAGCCATGCAGTAATCACTTCACTAAATGCACGGTGCTTAAAAAAATTAACAGCAATATACAAATGATTACACTGATCTAGTTACTCTATCCTTGTCTCAAAAGCCCAAAGGACAAATGACATATGCTTTAAAGAATAACACTCAGTCATCTCTCAAGATGATAAAATATTTTTTCTTCATATAGCTATTTCGCTATATGAAAAAAAAAAAAAACACAACACTTTTAACAGTTGTCTCCAAGATGCATGTTTTTAGAATTTATAGGACATTAAAATTTTGGCTTACCTCTAACTGGATATCAAGACCCTCCACCGGCGTAGTCAAAGAACTGAGGTTTGGCAGCACATGCTCACAGAAGTAAGTAACAAATTTTGTGGAATGAACATTTTTCTGCAAAACATCCACACATTACTTAGGTTCCTTTGAGTTGGAACGAGTTAAATGTTTTTCCCACCCCACCCTGCTTCCCATACAAATGTCTATCACAGAGCTATACTTAATGCTTCACTTAGCTTCAGCTTCCACAATGCAGAGTCCCTTCTAGGTAGCTTAAACTGAGAGGAAGTCTGTAACACTGGCTGGGATTGCCAGTAAACTGGAAACAGGCCCTCAAGTGCTGCAGCTGCCTGGCACAAGACTTGAGTTTAATCAAGCCACATACATGAATGTAATTTGAGAATCTTGTCATTCCTTTTACACTTGAGACTCAAAGTTGAAGAGAGAATACACAAAACTGCTTTGTATTTAGAGGCTATGTGGATGCCCTCCAATGCTCCAGCACACCAAAAGCCAAAGGTGGGGAAGCACTGTTGTGAGCCGTGCCAATATCATCACCCAGAACCCCCAGCCGACGCTGCAGCTATTAACTTGGCACCACGTTCCTCACACAGAGCAGATGAAGACCTACCGAGAAGAGCGGCACCGCCTGCCGCGTGCACTGCAGAAGCCTGTCCACGCAGTCCGGATCGCTCGGATTGAACGTTTGCTCCAGGTCCGCCTGTTCGGCTACAAGTTCCACCAGCTGCTGCCTCCCACTCACTGTCTGCAAGCTTTTTAATCCCGACAATATTTTCATGAATAGAACGAATTCCTCGCCTGTTACGTCCTCCAGGACCTTAACAAAACACCAGAAATGGTATTTTCATCGTGCTACCTTGCAAACCTCCAAGTCAAACCCACTTCATAGGAAGATTAAAAATTTACACTGAAAAAATATACACTCTCACCTTCTTGGATTCAGTTAATATGAACTCTTCTACCTCCTTTGTCATCACCTCCTCAGGCAAGGTTTTAAGTTTTGTAGAGAGGAACTTGATGGCCCTCTCTCTCACAATATCTTCTCCTTGAAGGATTTGACTGAATAAGCCTCCCAAAGTCCCTGAATGGAGAATAAGTCAGTTAACACAAATTATTCTAAAACTGAGGAGCTAAACTATCTATGTAAAAGAGAAATTTCACACTGTAAAACTCCATGACATACTTAAACACATTAATATGGCAGTTTTTAAGAACATAACTTTCATGTAGCATTCTTTTATTGGTCTGTATAAATGTAGATCCACAGTTATTGAACTGGATTGTCCTGAACACAAAACTGTCTCCAACTTCCACACTGTACTAAGATGATGTAATTTCAGGCTCTGTTCTCCTCTCACTAGGCCCCGGGAAATAGTAATAAAAGACATTTAGAGAAAATTTGGTCCTTTACCTTTAGCATCCATTTTAAATATGCTGAGCAAAGCATTGTTCACCAAATTGAATTCTGCAGAATCATCTGTGGAAAGGAAAAAAAAGAAAAAAAAGAAAAAACCCCTCTTATATCCTTGACATGCAAGCATAAGCACAGAAAAACAAAGAAGTCTAAGATCATAAAATGAGGATTCTATTCTTGGCATTTAACTATAAACAGCAACACAACTCTCATTTTTAATGACTATTAGACAAAGGAAGTAGCAAGTCATGATTATGATAGCTGGAGGAATCAAAGCCATCCTTCCTTCTTCTTTCCTTCCCCTTGTAAAAGCTTGAACTTTGCAGATTGATGCAAGGAAAATTCTAACTCAGTAGTTAAGACATTTTAAGGAGCAGTTGAGTAGACAAGCTGACCTTTATTAAATGAAGGTAAAATAAGTGATTTTTTTAAAACATAAGTGATATACAATATTTATAGATGGGGGAAACAAGTTTTTTTCCTCTTGACCTAAATGGAGAGCTATATTAAATATTTTGAACAAAAAAATACACTGTATCAAAAAACGCTTTTAGATGTTTTTTTAAAGTTCCAGAGCACCAAGATTATAAAACCCGGTAGCTCTTGCTCAGAAGGCAATCAGCAACAGGCTGTAACTAGAGCGCTTTTGTTGACCTTTTTTTCTCTAAAGACACTTTCAGAGAAGGCAAAATGAAAAATTGTGAGGTTTTCCAGTTTATATTAGGATAATTAGCAACCATCCAAGACAAGCAGCCACATACCTTTTTAAAGCAGGACACAAATAACACTGGACAAACTTCTCTGATACAAACTGAAGAAAGAAAACTTTTTACAGAACAGTTTCTCTCATCAACAGATCCCACCACCACATATATTTTCAGGTGTGCCACAAGCAGATGAGCAGAGGAATGACCAACACCACCTACCTGACTGTAGGAGCTGGGTCAGTATGTCTGCTACTCGAGGAAGATTGTCCCCAGTGGCAAACTGCGGCAATTCCTTGATTGCTTGGCGTCGGATCTGTCAAAATTGTCATTGTTGGGAGAAGAAAACTCAAAAATAATGATAAAAAAAATAAGGCAGTTCAGCTGCTACACAAAGTTTGACAGAAAAATCACTCAAATCTGAGATTTTTTTTTTAAATAAAAGCATCATACTTGTAAAGTGATATTCAACTGTCAAACATTAATGGTAAGTCAAATGTTATATTTGCTATGGGAGTACTATGATGTATTCGTGTAGAAAAAAACTGTTTTTGTCTTAGAACTAAGCAGTACTGGAGGAAAGTGAATTCAAATGACACATCCATTCACAAAATCCATTACTTGATCACCATCATCCCAAATAATAAACAAAAAGTGATATAACGTATTATTGGTGTCTTATTTGCTAACACAAAAAATAATTTTACAGGAGTGCACACGGCAGAAATAAACTCTAAGTTTTGCTCCTAGCCTTGCCAAAACCCTTTGAATAACTTCTGCAAATCATCAAAATCTGACCACCAGGGGTACAGATTCCTTCAGAACAGAGGCAGCCGCACGAAGCATCTCAAGACTTCTGCAGCAACAATATATGCAGAAGCAAATCCTCACAGTTCTCAAGCGCAAATGAAATTTTCTTGCCTTCCAGCAGGTTTTAATAGAATCAATTCCCATAAAGCCCTTTGAAAGGAAAAATGCAATAGATATTCTAAGAATCTGCATCTAAGCTCCTTGCTAGAGAGCTATTCCTTTGATCAATAAGGGAAGTGAAAAGACAAATGAAAACTGATTTATCTTCCCGTACCATCTCACAGCAGAATTTTCTATTTCAGGAATATAACTACACACTCTTTGGTCTTTCAGGTCTTACACAGACCAACTCTCCTCTCCCTTCCCAAAAGATATATTTTACAAGAAGGGGGAAAATATATAAACCAACATATCAACTTGCTACTACAAGGTTCTAGCCTCATCCTTACAGAAACATCTTCATCCTCACAGAGGTCCAACTGGGCATTGATAGCAGAGTCAGCCAACTCAGGAAAATGCTTGAAGAATTTAGGAATAAACTGGGCTGCAAGTCTCTTCTCCTTGGCACCTCCTTTCACACCATCCAAGATGGCCTGGTAAGCATCCTTATGCTACAAGAGAAAGGATAAACAACATAAACAAAATATAGTGGAGTATTCCTATACCAAAAGGAGGATTTTTTTCTCTCCCATATATTACTGGTTACCAATGGAATGAAGTAACTGTAAAAATATTCATACATGAGGATGACACAGTCAGCAGGCAGTCTCTCCATTCTCTAATCTCACATTCGGTGAAAAGTTCACAAATGGCACACACGCATTTACTTAAGTATGGCATTACCACCTATTTAAGTGAACTACATTACATAAGCTTTATACCAAGAAGTGAAATTCTCTCTTTACCCAATATAACCTCACAAATTTAGCAATATTTGCCTCGACTGACTGTTTGCACTGTTATTTGGTTTCCTCTATTTGTTCAAAAAGTCAGCCCTAAGGCTAGCAGCTTTTGTGCACTCCCTGCAATTAGACTCAGCCCTAGTGCTGAAAGCTACACAATCACCTTCACTGAACTGAGGCAGTTTTCCGGATGAGTTTCTGTCTTCTGGCTGCCTCTTGAGCAGAGGTTACCTGTCCCAAGGGCTGTGCCACTGCAGTGGATCATGAGAGCTTTTTAACCTACATTGCTGTAAAGCATCTTTGGCAGCTATTCAAGCAGTTGACTTGGTACTGAGGTAAAGAGTTCTTAAGCGATGTGTTAAGAGACTGGATGAAGGAAATTCCTCTCCAGACGAAATACAGAAATAAACACTTCAGGGACAGAACATGAACCTCTAGCTCCAGCTAGAATCACACAGGCATTTCTGATTTTGTGCCCGCAGGACCACAACTTAAGAATAAACACAAGGGGTTTGCTGGGGTTAGCTCTGTGTTTTGAGAAATAAAAGGTAGCCTTATAAAGATGCTACCATAAAGCAGAATCTTGCATAATTTGTTTTCCTCACACATCCTGCCTTGGACAGTAAATTCAACAGCACATAAATTTACTGCAAGTTGTAAAAGAAAATGTTTCCAGAGCCATGAGTATCATCACCCCCGCCCCACAAGAAGCACATCGACAGTGAAAAGAGAGACAAACTTTTGAAATAAGTCTGTATTAATCCCCCCCGAAGCAAGCCGTGTTAAACACTCAGTACCAGTGTTGCTTATACAACCCCTATACCAAGTTGGTGATTACTTAACGTGGCCAGATTCTCAACTGAACTGGGAAGAAAAATAGTCCAAGAAATCAAAACAATTGCTTTTGATCTGATCAACACCCCCAAGAAAAGCACTTCTTTCTCTTTATTTTGAGCCTTCTTCCTCCTCATTTCTTTAATCTCCCACGTGATTTCTGTGAGTGAAGAT